GACATACAGACAAACAGACGGACATGGCTAGATCGTCTTAGAATTTTAAGCTGATCCAGAATATAAATACTTTGTAGGGTCTATTATGAATATTTCCAGGAGTTAAAAACGTAGTGACAAAGCTAATATATTCTCCATAGAATGGTGGAGGCTATAAAAATGCTCACTATTCAACAATCCCCTATCCAAAAGAAGGAAACCCCTTGAATGTTTTGCCTGTGTTTCTAGGTTAGTAATCATTCTTAGAAAATATAACCTGCTTTCCAATTTCCTTTCTATATAGATTTAACTTCAAATATTAGATATGATTAATCAATCGAATCCGCTATTCGATTTCTGATGTTCTACAGTCGACGATTTAGCTCTTTTTATACACAAGTTCATGTTATTGATATCAAATAATCATATTTATTTAATAAAACAACACTGCGGAGCTATTATCACTGTGCAGACTAACTGTGACAATGGAAAAAACCCTGTAAGAAAAATATTTTTGCCATTCACATTGAAACAATAAGTTATTGAAAATGCTGATCATTTCCTGTTTTTTCATAGAGACTTTAAATATTTCATGTGTTTCCAAACAATATGATTGGAATTTCTTTTCGCGTCATTTGTTAGTTTTTTTTTTTTTTTTTTTTTTTTCTTAAAGCGACATAATCGTTTTTGTTTCTTAAAGCGACATAATCGAGTCGTGACGTAGATGGAAATTACTTTTGTTCATAGCTCCGATATAACTGAGCAGAGAGTGAAACTCACTCGAATTAGAGTGGGAGTAGAAAAAATCAAGCATACTTTATTTTTTGATGTCGCTCGTAAAACAGCAAACATGCTTAGCTCGTTTTCGCGTGGGAAATCGAACAATTTTTATTCTAACCGAGTACTCCTTTATTATATCTTCTTATCTCCACGAGATGAGTCGATCTAGCTATGTATGTCCGTCCGTCTGTTCATGTTAATTTGTAATCACTCTACAGGTCGCGATTATGGCCCGATTCTCACGAAATTTAGAATGGAGGTAGAGCTAGGGTCAGAAGCCTACTGTTTTTGGAGATGATAGCATAATATTTTGGGGTTAAAATGCACCAAAAATAGATAAATCTCCTGATTTTGCAGTTGCTCTACAGTTCGCAATTATAGACCATGCATGGGGCTGAAGTTTAGGGCTGGTAGAAAGCCTGCCATTTTTTTGATCCTTTATTATATCTTCCTATCTCGCCGAGCTGAGTCGATCCTATCAATCGATTCGTAATAACTCTACAGGTCGCAATTATGGCCCGATCTTTATGAAAATTTAGAATGAAAGTGTGGCTGGGGCCAGAATAGAAGCCTATTGCTTTTGGAGATGATAGCATTATTTATTTAGGGGTTGAAATTCACCAAAAATAGATAAATCTCCTTAATCTACAGGTCGCAATAATAGACCAATCAACGCGGAATTTTGCATGAGGTTAGGGTGTAAGACAGCGCAGAGGTGTAGCATATTGGGCGATCCTTGAATTATATTTAGCAGGTAAAATGGACCACAATTTTCGTGTCAAATTGTTTTGAATACTTAACAACGCGACGGAGTGAGCAAATATTGGGCAGATACCCTGCTCAAAAAACTAAGGCCAACATCGGGACAGTGATCTATGACATTATTTCAAAAACGAAATCTTCCAAAATGGATTTGGACATAATGGGGGTTTCAACATATTGTAGTATTGTAAGGTATCACATGGTCGACCCCGCACGATTATAGCCTTTCATACTATTGTGAAGGGTTTTTATAACCTATACATATACATTTAAGACCCCAAAAAGGATATATAGGTTGAAATGAAAAAACTCCGACCAACTTCAGAGTGCTGTCATTCCAAAGCCACTCTTCCGAAAACTGTTAAAATTATTCCAGTGACAGCTCATTATATTGTTTACAAGCATATAAAAGCATTTTGGTGAGAATTTTCCAAATAAAAAAAAGTTATTCGTGAAGGAATTCAAGCGTGATAGTGTGATTTCTTTATATCTGGAAAGCCACAAGTGGCTATCGTTAGATCACTCCAGCATTTAAATGTGAAAAAATCTTTTGTGTCTACTGGTAGCGTAGCCCGACGTCAAGGAAGTGGACGGAAGAAACCAGCAACATTAGCAGAAATGGTTCGAAAAGTAAAGAAGCGACTTGATCGAACCCCGCGTCGAAGTGGCCTAAAAATGGCTCGTGAGCTGAACATATCGCAACATTCCATTCGGCAAATATTAGAAAATGAGATCGGGGTAAAGCCAGAAAGTGATGGACTGCACATTTGTTTTCTCCGATAAGAAAACATGCGTTGTCCAGCAGTTTGTAAAGAAACAAAATGATCGTGTTTACTTGCCAAAGAGGTCAGCTGAAAATGTATACCTCCGGTTGGCCACCAGAAATATAGCGCAGGCCATGGTGATGGTGCGGGCTGCCACAATAGCCGATGGTCGCTCTTCGCTCGTATTAATCAACCGTGGCATCAGAATAAATGCCGAATATTATAGTGAAAATATTTTGGAGGGTGTATTAACATTTTGGCCGCAGACCTTGGACATTCCAACAGGGCTCAGCACACGCCACCGAAGAATGGTTACAAAATGAGGTACCTCGCTTCATTTCCAGCGGTCACCAAAATCTCCGGATATCAATCCGTTGGATTATTGTGTCTGGAGTATTTTGGATAGCGAGGTTGGCAGTAAAAAAGCAAAGTGTCGAGTCAAAATACCGCAGGGCAACATTCGGGCAGCGTGTGACGGTTTCATTGGACGTTTGAAGGCCATAATTCGTACCAAAGGTGGCTATTCCGATATTGATGCTATTTCCGACATTTTTTGCTTTCATTCAACAGAATTTTAAAAAAAAGTAAAAATTATGACTTTTATCGCCGATTTTATCAAAATTTTCATAATTTTTATACCCTACACCACAAGGTGGTCAGGGTATTATGTCTTTGTACATTTGTTTGTAACAGGCAAAAGGAAACGAGATAGACTCATAGTTCCTTTTGATGATCTGCATAGAATCACTTTCTGAGTTGATTTATGCATGTCAGTCCGTCCGTCCGTCTGTCCATGTATTCTTGTGAACAAAATGCAGGTCGCATTTAATATCCGATTGAGATGAAATTTTGCAAACAACATTTGTTTGGCCCAAGGACGAACCCTATTGAAATTGGAGATAACCGGTAAAAATTTAGATATAGCTCCCATATATATCTTCGTCCGATTTGCCTTTAACTGTGCACCAAACGTGTAATATCAGTCCGAATAGTATGGAATTTTGCACATACAACCAAATTATAACCTGAAAATAAGTATGCCAAATTTTATCGAAATCGGTTCAGATATAGCTATAGCTCCCATATATATTGTTCATCCGATTTGTTATTTTTGTCCTCCGCAGCCGTAATATGCACTCTTCAACAACAATATTTGGGGAAATATATCAAATGCAGCTCAGAAATATCTTTGCTAAATTTTATCGAGATCGGTTCAGATTTGGATATAGCTCCCATATATAATTTCGTCCGATTTACCATTTATTGTGCACCAAACGTCTAATATTTGTCCAAATGGGATGAAATTTGGCACATACGACCGAATTTAGTCTAGAAGGTAGTATGCCAAATTTGCTGAAGATCGGTTCAGATAAAGTTATAGCTCCCATATATATTGTTCATCCGATTTGCTATTTTTGTTACCCACAGCCGAAATAGAGGGAAATATATCAAATACAGCTCAGAAATATCTTTGCCAAATTTTATCGAGATCGGTTCAGATTTGGATATAGTTCCCATGTATATTTTTATCCGATTTCAAATTAATTTCGGCATATTTAGTCCTTTGAATTTTAGCGTGTATGATTGAATTCTCCCATAAAAACTTTTAATTATTAAGTGGAGCTCAACTAAATTAGCAAAGTGGTGTAGGGTATCATAAAATCGGCCCCGCCCGACTTTAGGACTTTCTTTACTGGTTTCTATGCTAAATTCGTTCGTATGTTACAAAATTTATTTAGTTTGGGCGGATATTGCAAATTTGGTGCACAAAAAAGGGGGAACCTAATGAGACAAATATTGGCGTTGCAGTTTTTTTTTTAAGCAGTCGAATGTGCAAAATACATTTTGGCTGGCTTAAATAGTAAAGCGGATGGAATATACATACATGGGAGCTATATCTATATCTAAGCCGATTTTATCAAAATTTTCATAATTTTTTCTACGCTAAATTCGTTCGTATGTTACAAAATTTATTTAGTTTGGGCGGATATTGGAAATTTGGTGCACAAAAAAGGGGGAACCTAATGAGACAAATATCGGAGGTATATCCAAATCTGAACCAATCTCTACCAATTTTTACATAGGTATTTGAGCTGTATCTTATATCATTGTTATAGACTGAAATATAAAATCGGATGAAATATATGAGAACTATAGGTATATCTGAACCGATTTTCAACAATTTTGGCATAATTGCCTAAACTCGGCCAGATGTGACCGAAATTGGTCGTAGGTGCCAAAATCCATCCTATTTAGATTAACTAAATACCTTCCATAAGAAAACGATGAGTTAAGGCAAAACAATTTAAAGAAACCTAAAATTGAGTTGGATTGTTTAATGGTATATTCTCTTAGCGGTGCCATTGTGCCATTTTGAAGACTTGTGACGTTCTTTGAACGCAAAAAAATAGCATAAGTAGGCGTAACGGTTTTTTCCACAGTGAACATCAACAATGGGACACAATGTCAAACATTAAACAGCTTGATAAAAGAAACAAGGCACTTTCTATTTAACTTTTAATATATTGTGTGGAAAAAAAACTATTGCCATAATACATATTTGGGGGAAAAAATGTGATGATTGTGATTACAGTTCTTCACTCAATATAGACCGGGCGAAATTTCATATAAATAGGGACTACTTTTCCATTTCATACCATACTACTTTCAGATTCTAATTTAGAAACAATTGGTGCATCAGCGTCAGGGGAAATCATGAAGTGTTTTACATCGATTGTGGCAGTTTTTGCCATTTTGGCTAGTTTAAGTAGTTTGCATTTGGCCCAAGGAACGACTCCAACAAGTCCCACAACTCCAACAAGTCCCACAACTCCAACAAGTCCTACAACTCCAACAAGTCCCACAACTCCAACAAGTCCTACAACTCCAACAAGTCCTACAACACCTACCTCTCCTACAACTCCCACAACCCCCCCAGCTGCACCACCACCACCAGCACCCGTTGCTCCACCACCAGCAGCATTTGGATGAAATAATCAAAAGATCGTTATTTTAAACTTAAGGATTTTCAAACTCGATAGGCGGAGTTATCACTTCTCGAATCAATATTAAAGATGGGTAAATCAGGTCTACATTTTTATACCCTCAGCCATATGACTAGAGAGGGTATATATCATTTGATACGGCCAAAAGTGCCGCATCGAATTAACGTATTTAGAATCTAGGTCTTTTTGGATCAAATCCGTTTCAGGACATTTGGAGTCGATCTAGCGATCGCCTGTCTTTCTGTCTATTTGGCTGGTGCCGTACGACAACTCTCGAGAAAAGTATTCGATTTGGTCGAAATTTGGTACATCGTTATATTATTACCAAACATAGGTTGAGTTCGGAGGTGTCCACTCCACAAAGAATAGACTAAAAAGAGCTAGAGAGTTGCTTCGCTTTACCGAAAGTGATGAACTACCGAAATTGGTTTTCTCTGATGAGAAAACCTTCGTTGTCCATCAGTTTTTAAACAAACAAAATGATCGTGTTTACTTGCCAAAGAGGTCCGCTGAAAATGTGCAACTTCGGTTGGTCACTAGATCTCAAGCGCCGGCCATGGTGATGGTGTGGGCCGCCATAACAGTCGATGGTCGCTCTCCGCTCGTATTAATCGACCGAGGCATCAGAATAAATGCCGAATATTATCGCGAAAATATTCTGCAGGGTGTATTTAAGCCTTAGGCACGCAAACATTTTGGCCGCAGACCTTGGACATTTCAACAGGACTCAGCACGCATCATCCAAGAATGGTTACAAAATGAGGTTCCTCGCTTCATTTCCAGGGCACAATGGACATCAAAATCTTCGTACTATTGTGTCTGGGGTATTTTGGAAAGCAAGATTGGCACTAAAAATTACCAAAGTTTCGATCACTTCAAGCAAGCGCTTAGCCGGGAATGTGCCAAAATACCGCTGAGCAACATTCAGGCAGCGTGTGACGGTTTCATTGGCCATAATTCGTGCTAAAGGTGACCAATTCGAACAAATCAAAACTTATTATAAAACTGATGCTATTTCCGACATTTTTTGCTTTCATTCAATAAAATTAAAAGGAAGTAGAAATTATGGCGTTTGACTTTGTTGCAGTTTTTCATCTCACCCTGAATATCGGTCCACTCCTTCTGGTACCTCCCCCACAAAAGGGATCAACATATTCAATATCAATGAACGAAAATTTTCATCCGATTCCATTCAAACTTGGCACATCTCAATATTTCCATGGTAGAGGTCGGACCACTTATGAAATGAAATATGTACAGGATGAAATAAAAAAACTGCAATAAAGTCAAACGAAATAATTCCAACTTTTTCTATTGAATGAATTTTAGAATAAGTTTAGATTTGTTCGAATTGGTCACCTTTGGCACGAATTATGGCCTTCAAATAGCTAATGAAACCTTCACACACTACCCGAATGTTGCTCTGCGGTATTTTGGTCCATTCCCGGCGTAGCGCTTGTTTGAGATGATCGACACTTTGGTATTTTTTAGTGCCAACCTACCTTTCCAAAATTCTCCAGACACAATAGTCTAACGGATTGGTATCCGGAGATTTTGGTGGCCGTTATAAAGCGGGGAACCTCATTTTGTAACCATTCATAGGTGGCGCGTGCTGACTGCGATGGATCTGAGTCCTGTTGGACTGTCCAAAGTCTGCGGCCAAATGTTTTCTCATCGGAAAAAAACCAAATTCGACAGTTCACCACTTTCGGCCAAGCGAAGCAACTCTTTTGAGTCTATTTTCTTTCTGTTGCGGTGTAAGTTCTTGCACTTTTTGAACTGTCACTGGAATAATCGTAAGAGCTGTCGGACGAGTGACTTGGAAATGACAGCAGTCTGAAGATGGTGATATTCCAAATACACAAAAGGCGAACTTCTTCCTTTTTTATGCTGATTTCGTTGACGTACATAGTCAAATATCGTAGACAAGCAAGTCATATAGATGAGTCTAAATTTGGAGATACAGAGGGGCCTTTTGTTTTTGGAGATGAACGCAAAATCTTTACGGGGATCAAATGAACCAAAATAAAAAAAATTGAAACCAATCGACAAGGAATTTTGCGTTAGAAGAGAGTAAAGGACAGGACAGAACTCTACCACTTTAGATGACCATGGATTATATTTAGCTGTAAAATGGACCACAACAACTAACAGCACGACGGAGTGCATAATTATTGGGCAAATGTCCCTGGTAAAATTCTAAAAGTAATATCTGTACACGCTATGATAATAATTATAATTTAAAGTTCAAAAGACTAAATATGCCGAAGCATTTATATCTTTTAAATTCGGACTTGTATTGCCCATTTGGTGCAAAATTAATTTGAAATCAGATAAAGATATATATGGGAGCTATATCCAAATCTGTACCGATCTCGATAAAATTTGGCAAATATATTTCTGAGCTGTATTTGATATATTTCCCTGAATATCGTTGTTACGGAGTACATATTACGACTGTGGGTAACATATACAACAAATCGGATTAACAATATATATGGGAGCTATAGCTATATTTGAACCGATCTTCACCAAATTTGGCATACTACCTTCTAGAATCAATTCGGTCGTATGTGCCAAATATTATCCCATTTGGGCAAATATTAGACGTTTGGTGCACAATAAAAGTAAATCGGACGAAGTTATATATGGGAGCTATATCCAAATCTGAACCGATCTCGATAAAATTTAGCAAAGGTATTTCTGAGCTGTATTTGATATATTTCCCTGAATATCGTTGTAACGGAGTGCATATTACGGCTGTGGGTAACAAATACAACAAATCGGATGAACAATATATATGGGAGCTATAGGTATATCTGAACCGATCTTCACCAAATTTGGCATACTACCTTCTAGAATCAATTCGGTCGTATGTGCCAAATTCCATCCCATTTGGGCAAATATTAGACGTTTGGTGCACAATATATATGGGAGCTATGTCCAAATCTGAACCGATCTCGATAAAATTTAGCAAACGTGTTTCTGAGTTGCATTTGATATATTTCCCTAAATATTGTTGTTGAAGAGTGCATACTACGGCTGCGGAGGACAAAAATAACAAATCGGATGAACAATATATATGGGAGCTATAGCTATATCTGAACCGATTTCGATCAAATTTGGCATACTTATTTTCGGGCCTAATTTGGTTGTGTGTGCAAAATTCCATAATATTCGGGATGATATTACATGTTTGGTGCACAATAAAAGGCAAATCGGACGAAGATATATATGGGAGCTATATCTAAATTTTTACCGATTATCTCCAATTTAAATAGGGTTCGTCCTTGGCCAAACAAATATTGTTTGTAAAATTTCATCTCAATCAGATAATATATGCGATCTGCATTTTGTTCACAAGAATACATGGACAGACGGACTGACATGCACAAATCAAATGCACAAAGTGATTCTATGCAGATCATCAAAAGGAACTATGGGTCTTTTTCGTTTCCTTTTGCCTGTTACAAACAAATGCACAAAGACATAATACCCTGACCACCTTGTGGTGTAGGGTATAAAAATTAAGTGATTTGTGGCTGTACTACCTTGAATAACAGCATATGACAAAGGCATGTTAATATAAAAAACAAAATTAAAGGAAAGAATGGCAAATAAAAGGTTGGATAATCCAAAATATTGGTTTCAAAATTTTATTCCATATACCTTCCCAAATAATTGCATACTGCCTTAGAGGTTTAAATTGCTTAACATTGGTAAGTATGTTGTTACGATATCATAACAACAGAGGTATTTTTTCACTGGATTGTCATATTTTACTCTGTCTTGTCCTATCTTAATACTTCTATGTCTTTGCATTTTAGGTCTTTGGCGACGAGCTGCTAATCTATGTATTGTAGACACAAACCATTTGCTTCAAACGCATTTTGTCTAGTCTTTACCATTTTAGGTCTTTGGTAACAGCTCATGACAAAGGCATGTAAATATAAAAACCAAAAATGTGGTTTCAAAATTCTATATCACTAACCTTTCCAAAAATTTGGATATTTTCTTCGCGTTTTAAATCTGCTAACATTGGAAAGTATGTTGTTATGATGTCATAACAACAGAGGTATTTTCACATGGTTGCCATATTTTGACTCTGTCTTGTCCTATCCTATATTCTACAGTATCACATGGTCGGCTCCGCAAGACTATCGTCTTTGCTTACTGTAAAACAAGTAGCAAGTTTCAAATGAAGGTGCAATTTCACCTAACGGATTCACCATATCATTATGAATTTCTTGTCCCGATAAATTTGCGTCTTTTTTCAAAAAACCTGTTTTTTATGAAGGAGTTGTCAGATCGAAACAAAATTTAATAAATAAAATTAATAACAGAGATGAAAGTTTCCAAATCACTTAATTTTTTTCTGTTTATACCGCGCTTTTTGTGCTAGGCTAAGAAGTTTCCGAACTGCCCTCGTACTTACCAACGATTAAAATAATAACAAATGCACTTAAATTGATTGAGTAAATTTTATTTCATTTGTCTTTTGATTTGATTGATTCATTGTGTTTTTATTTTTCATTTTGCTTTAATTATTTATTTATTTTTATTTTATTTTTTTGATTGGTTGACTGACATTGTAATCACGTGGATTTCAAGATTTCATACATTTCCTTTGTTTTTATTAAATTCAAAATAACAGAAACGTCTTACCAGGTTAGATTAGATTTTAAAGTAAAATACAAATGCAAAACAACAAATACATAATGACTAAATAACAATTCTTAGGCATAGAGTGTGAAAAAATAGTTAACAAAATATCAGAAACAAATTATAGCCGTTTTTTTTTTATTTAATTCTCTTATACTAATTACTGTGACAATAAATTTGTAGTTTATCTCTTGTGTGTTGATTTTATTGCTATTGTTTGACACCGAAACAAAATGTATATTTTTGTTTAAAAAGAATAACAAAAGAGCATCAAATATACCTTTCTTATAAATATATACAATTATGCAGATTTTTATTTATTTT